CAGGAAGTCTAGTCCTGCCAAGAATGTAATAAGGGTTAACGGAGAGGCAGTTTCTGAAAGCAACACCAGAATGTTTCCTTCCTGCCTTCCTTACAGGATTAGGCCAGTAATTTCTTCTAACAACCAGTTCTCCGAGCTGCTTAGAATGTTAACAACCGGTTCTACTGAATAGGTGCAAACTGGTAGAATCCCACCCCTGACTGGCCATGTTATCTGGAGCTGCTAAAGGAGGTATCTGTGATATGGCTAAAAGATGTCTGGTAAAAAGAGTTGATGCCTTCCTTTTTAACTCATGTCCTCTGTCTGACTGGCGTAGCCTTAAAATCAAATATTATCCCCCCTTTTTTGTTTTGGTTTAGTATCTTGGAATTTTGGGGGTGGGGGGTGGGAGGGCTGCTTTCACAGCAGCAGTCATTCAAATGTTTGTGGAGTATGACTTTGTGAATTGTCTGCCTCTTTCCTTTCTTTGTCTATCAACAGATTCAACCACCAGATTGATATTATTTAATTCTGGATTTCAGCAATTGGCTTTAATTTAGCCCAGTGGTGGCTAACCTTTTTGGGCTCCTGTGCTGAAAATTGCATGCATGCTCGCATGCACGCGCTCATGTGCCAGCACCCAGAAGGAAATGTCCGCAGGGCCCCCATGCCCCTATGCATACACACGCAATCTCCCTGCAAGCGCCACATGTCTCTGCGCATGCGTGCACATCTCCTGCACCCCCCCGCATGCATGCCAGATACCCAACAATCAGCAGTGGGGTTCTTCCAGGCAATCTCTTGCGTGCTGGCAGAAGTGGGTCTGTGTGCCACTTCTGGCACATGTGCCATAGGTTCGTCATCACGGATCTAGCCCCTTCATATCTATGATCCCTGGAGTCTGTAGATCATCTGTTTCTTGGGTGCAATTTGAAAACTTTGTTGTTGATTTTGTATTACGGATAGCATATGTTCTTGAATATGAAGACTTTTTGAAAAAAGTATTATGCTTGAAAAACCAGTCTTTCTAATGCTGGAAAAAGTAATTTCATATAGGACTAAGTAGATTTTTGGAAGCTTTTTAACCTTTTTAACCTAATTGCTGATTCCAAGAAAATTACAGTTATTGGGTTTTCTTCCCCCTCGCCTTTCCCTCCTCACCCACCCCAATTTGTCTGCCTTTCCAATATTAATGTCTTCTTTTACCTGTTCAGGTATCTGGTAACCCTAATATGGAGAGATGTTGTTCCCTTTATTCTACTCTAATTCTTAATATGTATAGTTATCAGTAACAGATATTTTTGTACAATTTAAAAAACCCCAACAATTTAATCTGTCTATTTTCCCCAATATATCACTTCTCCTCTGGAGAAAAATCCCTTCAAATCAAATCTAAATGTATTACAACAATTATTATATGAATGAATTTAAAAGTTAATTACAATGAATGAGTCAGACAATTAGTTAAGTCTCATGTAGCAAGTTAAACTATTTATCATATGGTGTCAGGCTTCTGTACCTTCATATTTACTTAACAAAATGCTGTTTTCCAGGGAGTAATAGACAACACTTCTTGTGCTGGTTAAATATTGTTTTTAGCAAGGAAAAAAAGAGAGATCTACCTTGACAGATATTTACTATCAGTATTAACTATGGTGGAAAACTACCTGACATTTTAAGCTCATTTATGATAACATTAAAATAATGTAAACACAGCATTTTAATTTGAAAGTTAGAAGTAACACAATTTGATGATCTAATAAGGGTTTTTCTACCCTTATTTTGCAATCTTAGCCCCCTCCTAAATTGATAAATGAATTATTATGAAACTCTCCCGCCCCCATGAATGCAATTTATGATTTCACTGGGGTAAATTATTGTAACTTACTCTGTGTGACTGCCGGTAAAGATAAAGCTGGTACAAAATGTGTTCAAGGGACACTATTATCTTGATATTTTTGGTACAGTGCCCTGTCTTATGTCAGTGCAGTAAACGAAAGTGAAAAATTAATGTAACAATCACTTAAAATTTTTACTTTATTTTAAATAAAGTCAATGTATTTCTTATAACTTTATAAGATAAAGCAGTGAAATTTAAAATAATTTAAATAAATAATTTAAAATAAATGTATAGGATGAGCTTGTTTACTTTTGTCTAAATTCTAAAATTTAATTTGGATCGATATGTATTTTTTAAAGAAGCAATTGTAGAAAATCCTGACTTTGCCGCTGAGTTGTCTAGGTCAGGGGTCTCCAACCTTAGCAACTTTAAGCCTGGGGGACTTCAACTCCCAGAATTCCCCAGCCTGCTTTGGAGTTGAAGTTGCCAAGGTTGGAGACCCCTGGTCTAGGTAGAGCAGGTCAAATTATGACACAGATCCCACCAGGCTCAAAAGCCTTGCCCAGGCTAAGCAATATGGCAATAGCACTTAGACTTATATACCGCTTTATAGTGCTTTACAGCCCTCTCAAAGCAGTTTACAGAGTCAGCATATTGCCCCCAACAATTTGGGTTCTCATTTTAACCACCTCGGAAGGATGGAAGGCTGAGTCAACCTGGAGCCTGGTGGGAATTGTAGGCAGCTGGCTGCAGAAGTAGCTTGCAGTACTGCACTCTAACCACTGTGCCACAGAGCCTCATGATATGTTATGTAATATCAACATGATAATGTATTACAATGAATCTTAGGCACCCAAAGTCTCCTAAAAGAGGATAGCATCTTCTAGGAGCCTCAAGATAAGGGCATATAGGTGATGAGTAGTGCTAAACTCTTAATGGTTGCACTACAGATTTAACATCTCATTTCAGTTAAACAATCCAGCTTCAGGTACTTTCAAAACCCACCAAACAGAACAGGCTGAGTGCCCAAGTTGTTTATGCAAACCCAATTTTATGTCAGATTTGCTTGATTCCCATGGCAGTTATGTTGCACAGTATGAGAATCCCTGTATACATAGCAGCACTTGATATTGTGCAAGGTAGTTTAGCTTGGATCTCCACCTCTGATTATTAGTGATGTTTAATTCTTCTATTAAGTCTATAACAACTTGAACTTGAATAAAAGATTGTCTCATGCCATGTCTTCCAAGGAAGCTGTAATCTTTACTATACTACTTGCACAGATACAACATATTGCTTAAATCTTTTGTCATATTAGCACTCTGCATATGCAATGCTCTATCCTAGAAAAGCGAGAAGTTTCTTGGTGTTCTGGCAGTAGCTATGAGCTTTTTCTCTTATTATTATTATTTGACTGATTCCTAAATGGCTTGAAAGTGATGACTTTTAGTTTCTCCTTTTATAATGTGTTTGTTGTGTAATATGCTGAATTAATTTAAGAATCTCAGAAGACAAAACAAAAGGGCAGGTATAAACATATGAAAGACCACCCAACTCTCTGATGCAAGTTCAGTATATACTAAAGTCCAGTCTTTGCTTAGGGGAAATAGCTGTTTCACCAATTTAAGGAAATATCAAGTGTTTTGTAATGCAAGACGCCTGGTTCAAGTATTTCCATTAACAACAATTGCTGCAACCTGTAGGGATGAATCACTGAATTTGGAAGAGCTCCATTTTAAGTCATTAAATCCAAACCCCTGCTTAGTGGAGATCAAAATTAAAGTCTCCTCAACACATGGCAGTCCATCTGCTTAGTTACATTCAGCAGAGCTCACTACCTTTCTCCTAACAAATATTATTCTGAGTACCCCACTAAGAACACTGGGAATAAATCTTGTTTATCTGCTGTTAATTTTAAGGCACTTCAAGAGGTAGCATGCCCACTTCTTTTTCCTTCAAGAAGACATAAACATAGCCAATTTCACCTTTGTCTCCAGTTACTGAATTGTCTTTGTTGCTCATTTATACACCTCCTTCACATGTAATGCCTGGAACCTGGACCTCTAATTTGAGGTAGACTCTAACCAATGGAGAAGTACCATGATTCAGAAATATGAAAGTACCAAGATCTTAGATCAGGTTTGGGAAAACCTATAGTAAGTTCTATTACACATGCTGCCAGGCTTTAAATCTCAGCAGTCAGCTGAAGAATCAGGGATGCTCAGATCTGTAAGTGAATGTAATTTGGGATCACTTAGCCAGATGAAAGAAGGCAGGCATGGGTTGCCAACTTTTCTGTTTCCTAATGAATGCTTGTCTCTTCTACTTTTTTTTCTCACAAACATTACTCCTCTAAGAACAGCTTCTTTTCCCAATTCTTTAAATATATAATAAACTTTCCATTTAGTGAAACATGATTTAGTGCACTTTCAATCCAACAGACAAAATTTGCTGGATCTGAGATTTGTCCAAATTATCATTCCTATACTAAGATTTATTTCTACAATTGCTCAAAAATATTGCCCACATTCTGGTGAGAGAAAAATTACCCGAGGATGGGATCCAGCGCAAACCAAAAGCTCTGGTCCCTGTAACCAACCCAGATTGGATCCTACATTATTCTTGGACTCATATATTTGCCTTCATTCGTTCAAACATATTATCTGTTCTAATGAGGGATTGGGTTCCACTGACTGCATTTGCTTTTCAAATTTTAAGCAAGTCATGGCTTATTCATTTAATCTATTTTTTTAGAATTTAAAATTACTTCATTTACTCCTCTTCTATTATCTCAAGTTGGGAATTTTTTTCTGGTTCTCCAATACTGCATTCACTCTTGAGGAAGGCTTGCAATACCCCTTCCTCATGTGACACAATCATTTCTACAGTTTATATTTACTAGTATAGCCAACCTGCAGTATCACTCTGCTTGCAAGTGTGGAAGCCAGCTGATTGTGTAATTTGGGTAAAGACCACAGGGTCAATGTGAAAGGAATACTGGTTCCGAGGGATTGCAATGTTCAAGAGAAGTGATTCCTCCCACCTCACAAAATCATATTATTCATTCAGTTCACAGAATTATCATACCAGACAATAATTTGCCAAAATAAAAATGGGAATATTTATTTTTTCCTACTAAAGCAATAAACTCTTATGCTTATGCATTGGTCTTTGTCAATCATTCCATTGTTAAAATTTTTACCATCAGTTGTGTAGAAAATGTAGACATAACTCCATAAAAACAACTTAGGTCAAGTCACTGAACAATTCCAAGACCAAGATAAATAGTGGTGGTAAGCAAAGATAGACCAACTTATTTGTAAAAATAAGTTAAGCTCTCTTCACATAACTATATATCCATGGTTTCATTAAGAGACAAGATATTTTAAATATGTTCATTACAGTAAAAACTTCTACATTACTTGCACCAATTTGGGTCTATACAAATTGCAGCAGCATTTCCTGATTACATATGGAGAATCAATCAGAAATCACTGTTATATACTGGAATTGGACAGAGATTCTAAAACCATTACTGAATGGTAGCTCATGCACATGATAGCAACAGGGAAAAAGGGAAGACCCCCGTGCAAATGGGATAGGACAAACTGTGACAAATTTGCAAATGTGCGCTGGACAAATTTAAACTGTACAAGTCTTGCAAAGTTACAAAGACATTCAGAAGCACATTTTCTTCTCCAGGCCTCCACCCTTTAAAGACATTGATTTTCATTTGGCCTCTTGAGCTTTCTTAGCATTCTGTTTTTCTTTTGCCTAGAAAATAAAGACAGACAGAAATTGCACTGTTTTAGTAACTTTTTTTTTTTGCTCTAACCCAACATGTACAAGATTCTGCACTTTCTTGAAATACTTAATATAGAAACAGGATATACAGCATAACAACCATTCTTTATTTTGAGCTGAGGGTTTCACCTTATCTGTCAGCCAATGTACTATGCTGATGCAGTCCTGCCCTTCTACAAGCAGAACACCTCCATCAATTTGTGGAGCAAATTAGGATACAGCAGAGGCTCCCTGTTTAAGAAATAATAATAATTTCTCTTAATCCATCTGCTTTACTTCTCAAAAGAGCATTGCAGAACAGCTGGTGTGTACTGGCTAAGTATTGGCGTGAGACTTCTTTGGGTGAACTTTCAGGAAACCATTCTCTTTTAATCTAATTCACTTTAAAGGGTTATTGTAGTAGGGATAAAATAAAGACCCCTTGCAAGTTTGTTTGAGTTTATGGAGAAAAGGCAGGACATAAAATATTATAACCTTGTTCTTCATAATTACTGACTACAGCAGTCACTGATTTATGACAACTGGGACCAGCATTTTGGTTGCTAAATGATGTAGTCATTAAGTGAATCACAATGTGATTGGCCTGATTTTATGAGCATTTTAATCGCAGTCATTAAGTGAATCTGTGGTTGTTAAGTGAATCTAACTTCCCCAATTGATTTTGCTTGTCGAAATCTCGCTGGGAAGGTCACAAAATTGTGATCACAACAGGCAACTATGGCAAATGCAAACCAGTTGCCAAGTAACTGAATTATGATCATGTGACTGGGGGTGGTGGTATGATGGTTGAAACTTTGAGGATGGGTTATACCTTACTTTTTCTGAGATTATCATAATTTTGAATTATCATTAAATAAATGATCATAAGCTGACAATGTACATAATCATCGGGTTTTATTGCCAGCATTTCTTTACCTGTTTTATATATTTATATTTATATATATATATTCTTAAGTTTTCGCGGATACTTACATGCATGGAATTCAGCTTTGTTCGGGTATTTTCCCACGTCATTTCCCACTTTTAAAGTTATAGCAACGTTTCGGCAGAATCTCATCTGCCATCATCAGGCTTCTGTATTGAGTTCGTCTGTGAGTCAGGTTTTCACAGCCGTTCCTGTTTTAAATTTGGGGCTAGCCTACTGCTGTGCCAGAATGGTTTTTTCTTCATCCTGATTAGTTGGGAGTCTTGGTCTGTGTTTATTGGTCTTGGAGTTTGCTGTGTTCTGCTTGATTGGTGTTTCTAATATCTTCTGTCTGTTTTGTGGCTTTTTTTGTCTTGCTTGGCTGACAACATTGTGTTCCTTTATTGGAGGCTTTTAGTGCAGCTTGGCTCTGAGTAAATGGACGGCTATCATTTATTAGGAAGCTAGGTTTCACCTGGGTGCCTGGTTGGGGTGTGTTTGAGCTGGAGGTATCAGGGGGGATCTGTTTGTGCCCAGGTTGTGGTGTGGAGATTTTTTTGTTTGTGAGTGCAGGCTTCCAAATAATTGACAGTCTGGTGGAATCATCTCTTCTATTCATGCTTTCAGGTCTTTTTTCAATCTCTATGGCTTCTCTGATAATTCTGTGGCTGGGGTTTTCTATAGTGGCTAGGGTTTTGGTGCCACTGAAGTTGATGCTATGACCTGTGGCTTTCATGTGTTGGACTAGTGAGGAAGTGTGTTCCAGCTTTTTTACTGCATTTTTGTATTCATCCAGGCGGGTACTTATTCTTATATATATATGTGGTATTCAGCTTTGTTCGGGTATTTTCCCACGTCATTATAGTTGTGCTTTTAAAGTTGTAGCAACGTTTCAGCAGAATCTCATCTGCCATCTGGATGAACACAATACAGAAGCCTGATGATGGCAGATGAGATTCTGCCGAAACATTGCTACAACTTTAAAAGAACAACTATAATGATGTGGGAAAATAAATTATATTATAGGATAAATTATCAAGCAGTTTGTGAGTCCAATATAAATTAATGTCAGTCATATCAAGATTACTGCATTCTAAATAGGCAGCTACATTTCAAAGGAGTTATTTGTTCCTCTAAATGCTAGGCGGAAGCTCAATTAAGTGTAAAAATACCAACCTATTATCTGAGGTTGTCCAATAAGCAAAAAATTCTCTATTACAGTATATAAAAGTACTATACATTATTTTAATATCAATTTTACTATCAACTGTTGGTTCTTGATGTAAATACAAAGCTCCAATTACATCCAGATATAACAATGATATAAAAAAGGACATTTTCTTCAGCTTATAAAATGCTGAACCTATTTGTAACAACCTCAACATTAAAGCAACAATCTGAATGAACTTATTAACATTAATTTTATTTAAATCAAGAATCTACTATTCTATTTAATTGCAACAAAGAGCAAATATATGGGCTGATATACTCTTCTGAAATGCCCAGATTTTTACTGAATTAAAGCTGGATTTAAACAGACCAATCTGCAACAATGAACCTAGTTTCTATAGCTCCGTCTGAAGCAATTACTAAAAAAAGGTGGCATGTATTTCTGCTCTTTTGGTGCAGAAAACAGTTTAAGACTGCAGGCTTAACATCATTTTATAAAACAAGGCCTGGTTTTATTAGATCTTATCTGGCAGCCCTGAAAGATAAGGCTGACTTGGAAAATATAACTTGGGTATATATATATAACTTGACTCTGAGAAAGATATGGATTCTAAAAACTCAAAGTTGACAGGATTGACCAGTGTTGAACTTGACTTTTGTAAGAAGATTGAAGATGATTGGGGAATGGTTTTATTAAACCCATTCGGAAAACAAATGTTAAGATATGTTATCATATAATTTTATAGGAGACTTTTTTTGTACAACAAATGCTGTGAAGAGAGAGACACAACAGAAATGTATGATTTGGGGGAATAAAATCCAATTGTTAGAAAAGATCCCATTTAATATTTTAAAGAAAGGCCTTATCATTAAGAATCAGTTGAAGATATTGATCCTGGACGAACCAGAGATAATGATTGTTATGACTTATGGCAGACCAGAAGCCGTTGTGGACTTTCTGCAAGTGAAATACAATAAATAGATTGTTAACAGAGGGTTTAGAAATTTAATTTAGTTGTTTGTTTTACTTGTTAACTATGTTTTTATATACTACCGTGTTTCTCATATAATAAGTCTGGGTCTTATTTTTTTTTGAGCCCCCCCAAAATGGCTAGGCCATCTTTTCGGGGGTGACTTAATTCCCCCCCCTTGCATCTTCGGGCGGGCGGCGACCACTTGGATGTTGACCTCGGCCTTGGTGGGGCACTTCGTATCGGGGTCAACGCAGGCAGCACCATATCCGGGTGTGCAACAAAAGTACTTCCTAATGGCAAGCCCCCACACCATTCCCCATTTCGCATGTTTTAATATAGGCCTTGATTTGGGGGGAGGGGCTTAATTTCATTTCATGCCTATAAAACATGCTGGGACTTCCTATTGGGGGAGGCCGTATTGTTGGAGAAACAGGGTAGACAGATGTCAGGGTAAGTGAGTTGGGTAAATAGTGTTGTAGAAATTTACAAATTGTGTACCTGCTCCACAAGGGTGTTTTATCAGTGTTCAACTAGGAGGGACAATTTATGTATATGTCTGTTTTTTTTAATGCACTTTTAGGGTGTAGTCTTGTTTAGCTTTGTTTTGTTTCTGTATTTTTGAGTATTTTAACGTTTGAAGAAAATAAAAAATAGTTTTTTAAAAAAAAATAAAACAAAGCATGATTTTAAAATTCCTTCCGAAGATCAAATATTCTGTTCCTATCAAGTATGGCTCTTGACTCCTGATTATACTCATGTTAAGAAGGAGAAAAATCTCTGAAATCCAACAGACAAAATTACAAAGAGCTAGATCCAGTTTTATTCATACTTAGACGTGATTTACTTAAGTCAGTGAGCTTTAATTTGGCCATGACTACAAGTCACATATATACTTTGAGTATGAGTACACTTGCACTCATACTACCAATCAACTTCTATCACTCAACAGAATTACTATCAAACATGTTTTTTTAAAATCTTCTGGTGAAAGCCTGGTAGCATGTGATGAGCTAACCATGTATATGAAAATTGTGAAAAGCAAGGAACTGATAGTATTTATTTGAAAGTGGGGAAAAAATCTTATTGGTAAAACCTTTAAAATGGTTTTCCTAAGCATTAGAATCTCATATTTTATATCTAATGCAGGAAAGAACATGTCTGAGGCTATTTCAGGATAAGAATCAAAATCAGGTTAGAGGAACCATTGCAGTTTAATAACCCTAAGAGGACAGAGGGCAGGGAGAACATGTTGCTTTCTTCCCCAAACGTGCTTGGAACTTAGCCATATCACTAAATCAGTGTTACTGCTAGAAATGGAACAACGGAGCAAATCAAAGTAATTAGAGAAATAAGAGACATTCTGCAAGTCAACTTTTTAGAGGAATGTATCCATGCTTCCAGAATGCCATCTAGTGGTTGTACAGCTACCACAAAACTTGTCCCAATAGCCTTATCGCTCTCATTTAAAAGAAAATTCTGCAAATTACTTTCCATTTTCCACTTAGCCAGATGCTACAAGTACTCAACTTATAACAGTTCACTTAGCGACCGTTTGAAGTTACAATGGCACTGAAAAAGGTGACTTATGACTGTTTTTTCACACTTATAATCATTTCAGCATTCCCCCATGGGCATGTGATCAAAATTCAGATGCTTAGCAACTGATTCATGTTTATGACAGTTGCAGTGTAATCCTCTGACAAGCAAAGTCAATGGGAAAACTAGATACACTTAACATCCATGATCCTAACACCTGCAGTAATTCACTTAACTGTAACAAAAAAAGCTGTAAAATGTAGCAAGTCACTTAACAAACGTCTCTCTTAGCAACAGAAATGTTGGGCTCAATTGTAGTTGTAAACCGAGGACTACTGTACTCTCAAACCCCCAACTTCATAAAAGCCTACCATGTTTCCCTAAAAATAAGACCCAGTCTTATATTTTGGGGGGCTTCAAAATAAGCACTAGGACTTGTTTTTGCAGGATGTCTTGTTTCTTTCCATGTACGGGAGGCTCACTTCTGCTTGCTCATGGCCACAATGGGGCAGGCAAGCCGAGACACGGAGTAGGCAAGCGGCTACGGGAGGCTCGTCTTTGCATCTCTCAGCTTTCCCATGGCCGAGGTGGGGGATGGAGATGTCTCACGTGCCCTACACCAGCTTACCTCAGGACTCTGCAGCCAGGCCATCCACGTCCCAACTTGTCTTGCAGTGGCAGCTCCAGCACTGTCCAGCAGGACCTGCATGGCCATTGGCCCACTTCTGCTTGCTCATGGCCGCAATAGAGCAGGCAAGCTGAGAAACGGAGTGGGCAAGCGGCCGAGGGAGGCTCATCTTCGCATCTCTTGGTTTTCCCATGGCCCATGCATGTCAGGATCATCTGCCTTCCTCCTGCTGCTTGAACAGGTGATCAAGTCACCTGTGTTGTGCAGGCTGTGGCTGCTGCTGAACACCATTAGCCCCCGTGCCCTCCAGTGCTGACCACGCCCCCCACTGATGATGATCTTAACTAGGGCTTGTTTTTTTGGATAGGGCTTATATTAGGAGCACACTAAAAATCAGGTAGAAGTCTTCTTATAAGACAACATTTACCTTTTCTACTAGTGGAATCAACTGCTGATGTTCTGCTAACGTTTTTAGCAATTCCATGATAAATGGTAGGTAGTTGTGTTTTCTTCTAATGTTTTCAATCTGCAAGCACAGAAAAAACATGACATGAATCAGCATTCGGTTCCATTACTATAACACAGAATCATGTTTATGATGTAATTTTCTGAATAAAAGCACTACACTACAGGAAAGGAAGGGAAGAGGAGAAGATTATAGCTAATGGTTGCAGTAAGAGAGGTATAGCTAATCTTCAACTTATCTTCTTAGTCCTTTTGGGCCAGAGGAGTTAAAAAATTATCCGTGATAACAAAAGTATCCCCAGTCCTGTAATCAAGATATGCATGCAAGTTTTTGTTTTTTTTACCATACTGTAGTTTAAATTACAATGTCTTCAGTTTTAGGATTAAGCTCAACGTTTATATGTGGTTGACAAGAGATATGGATTTGGTTTGAAAGCTTAAATGTCCAAAGAAACAGAACAAACATTTAGGTTGTTAATGAACTTTTTCTTTGAATTTGGTAGTAATGTTTCTTCCAAAAGAAATTTCCAATACAATTGTTTAGCCATTTTAAGGATGAACAAAACTGTCTAGCCTTACATTTGAAATGACCACTGAACTTAGTTGGCTATTCAACAACCTGGTCGGTTCCTTAAACACTGACCCCAGAGATAAGAGATGACACTTTCTACTAGGAATCAAATATTTTAAATATATGAAGGTGAGCTAAAATAAAGGAAGAATTTGTAAACAGCAACCAAATGAATTAGATTACAAGCTATCTGACCTTGCTGCAGGGATCAGGTTGCACTGCCCCCTAGAAACAAGGTAGAAAAGAAATTTCAAAAAGGCATGGGAGTGGAAGAGATTAACTAGCCATGAAATATAATGAATAGCCTGAGCAAAGCAGCTCTCCAACAAAGAGATTCACATTCTGGAAGTGATGGGATTCCTTTTATCTTGCTTTTGAATTTTTTCTTTGCTATTCTTTGCAGAATTTTTCTAGCTGAGAAATATTCCTGCTTGCTGGAAGACCTCTATACAATTTCTCCAAATGTATATTGCTGGATATGGCCAAACATATCAGCAAGATCTGCTGCAACAATTCTCCCATGTAAAATTTTAGTGACTATCCAAAAAAGTGGTGCTGAAAAAAGTGACTTATCACTGGCCCTCACACTTCTAACCGTTGTACATTGTGATTCAGATGCTTGACAACAAGCACCTATTTATGACAGTTGGAGCATCCCAAGATCACATGATCATTATTTGCAATCTTCTCAGAGAGTCTCCAACAAGCAAAGTCAATAGGTGAAGCTGCATTTGCTTAATGATCAAGTGATCTGCTTAAGAACCTCAGCAAAGAGTTGATTCATTTAATAATTGTGTTGCTTAGTGATGGAAGTTCCAGTCCCAACTGTTGCTGTAAATCAAGGACTACCTGTATATTCATTTCTAAATACTCAAGAGAGCTGCTGAATCATAGTTGTTGGAAGCACATAGAATAACCATCACAGAGGTTAAAAAAATCAGAGCACTTGTTTATGTATGAATTGTCTTCACTGGGCTAACTGGAGACCTAGTGAGTCAATCAACTTTTTGGATTTCAGTAACTATTTTACTATTAAAATAATATTTTGGAAATATTTAAAAATATTGAACCAAATGGAAATGTGTTTATATTTTTGTACATGCCACATTCACTAGTTTCTTATTTTTTACTGTGTAATCAGCTATATAAATGATTATGCCTAGATGCTGATTTGCAGAAAGATACCATGTTTCACTGTATATCTTTTAGAGGTTGTGTCACCATGTATTCATTAGGGATGTATTGAAACATACAATTTTATTAGGAGTGTCTAAACGTTTCACAAATTCAATTGCTTTTTGAGAATGTTTCCCTTGAACTTTCAAATAAGATTGCAGAACTGCTTTGAAAGCAAAAGAAAATGAATGACATGTACATGATTTGCTCTTTTTTATAAATAGGTTAGGGAATTTAATTTTCTAAGATTTGTTTTCTGTTTCTCTACAAACCCCACTTCAATTTTCACATTGTGCTCTGGGAAACTATTTTATTCCCCAGAAACTGACCCAGTGTTTTTCAATTAGAAATATGATGGATAGAAAAGATTAATTTAAAGATTGCTTGCCCATCAATATAAATTTGTCTCTGCAATGTAGAAACAGGGTCCTTGTTTTGGCATGGTAAAAGAAACTTGGGAGTCCGAAAGAAACATAGAAAGTGATGACTCTTGATAGATGCTCAGACAAATCAGTATAAAGCTGGGTTTATTAAAAAAAATATCAAAACTCATTTCTTTGAGCCAGAATGTCACAATAATTTTTTGATGCAAAGGTTGAATTTGGTCTTTGAGATGGATGATACTTATACTAGAAAATAGAAGTGGAACCAGGAAAAAAACAAGAACTAAATAAATGCAATTATTATTTCTGAATAACCAAAATGAAATTGACATATTTCAATAGAGGAATACACAAACAAATCAGTCTCGCATGAAAGCCAACTGATTTCTCTTTATGATTCTCAAACATTCACATTCAGATCTTGCCCTAGGGACAAAAATAAGGAATTGACATTCAAAACATTACTAATCCACTGAGAAATATTTCAAATAGATTACCTCTTTCTACCATTCAAAGGAGCCGCCTACATACCTTGTACCTTTTCAATTTTTGGTTTTCTTCTTCAATTAACATCTGATACTTTGCAACTTCGGATTGAACAGAAGTTAATATATTACTGCTCTGGTCTGTATCCATCGGCTCTTCCTGTTTGGAAAAATAGTTTGATTGAATTAAATAACAGCATTTTAAACACAGCATCAATTCAAGAAATGCAGAACATGAATAATATACATTGAACTAAAGAGCTGATTCCATATTTTGCAAGCTCAAGCATCAGATGCAGACTTTTACATAAATAGAAAGCTTAATATATAGGAAAAATAAATCCAAACTCTTGATTTGTGCAGTATTATTTTAAGACCAATCATAACACAAAACTGTGTGCAATCATTTGTGTTTTCCAGAACTGTTGATCAAATGAAAGAACAAAACTTTTTCTAAAGCATACAATCCACCTCTTTGCTGCCTTCTAGTGCTTGTTTTTAATGCTTGGCAAACTGCACTTAATTTGTTAATGTAATGTTCTGCAGTTTGATATTCTACCCTAGAAGCCATATTTTTCAAATAATCTATATAATGCAGTTTTCTTTAGAAGAATCTCCCTTTTAGGAAAATGATAGAAACTTTACGGGTAGGTTATTCAAAATTGTAATAGTTTCTGGAAGATGCATTTTGAAGTTAAATAAAGACAGTTTAATTTCGGTTTGTTAACTCATCCTTTTCAAGGTCCAAAAGAAATTGATAATGCTTAGTTACTTGGGACTTCCGTTTTGCCAGGCTTCGGTGACAGCAGGAATTCGCATTTCTCCGCGATCCCTGCTGTGCTAGCCATCTTGGTGCTTCCGATCCTGACGGATCTGGAGGATAAGGCTGCCCTGTTGGGGTAGCTGAAGATAGGGGGGATCCGGACAGGGGTTGAGGGGTATCGCAGACCCCCTCCCCAGCTGGCAATAACCCCCTTTTCTCAAGGCGGTGGAACGGCGGTCTTAATGGCTGCCACGAAGAAGCCGGCAACTGGATTAAGAATGTGCAGGAGGAAGAAGAAGGAAGTTTTAAAATGAAAGTTTTCTTGGCTAACCGGGACTTTAAGGATATATCTAATACCTGGAAAATTACTATTCTTTTTGGATGCTACAATGTCTCTAATGGAGGTTTTCAGCGGCGAAGGAAAGTGTTGAAAGAGAAAGTTACTCTCCCTTATGGAACTAACAAATGGACATGGAAAATCTGCTCTCTAACAGAAGGTAAAAATTTAAAGCCCTTTGTTACAAGTGGGAAGGGAGAGGCTTGGAAAAATATATATATATATATATATATTTCAAGACTTTGTTGGAGGAGATGCTTTGAAGATAAAGAGATTAGAAGCTAACTGCAAAAAAGATTTAAAATACAGATTGGGTTTTTTTCCCTAATCGACTTTACCCCAGAAAGAGAAACTGTAAAAGGAAGAAGTTTGTGCTTTGCCTGGACTGTTTGATGACTTTGGGATTTTGGGGAATTGTTTTAAGTTTGGAAATACTTGATTGGCTTAATAACAAGAAGAGGATACAGAAAAAGAAGAAGAAAAAGTTTATACTGGCTCTACCTCTCGATATCTAAAAATAAGGAAAGAAGGCAAGGACGCTATGGGAGAAGCCCTTTGTTTTCTAGATATGGCGCTTGCTATGTGTCAGCAAATTAAACAACAGCTGGAAGAAGCGGAGGAAGAAGAAGCCATTTTTAATGAATTAAATAGTGTGATTAAGAAAGAAAGGAGAAAGAGAGGAGGGAAAAGGAAGGACGTAAGACATAAAAAAATATCTATGAAAGAGAAAAATAAGATGCAAAAACAATATAATGCCAGAAAGCAAAAGGAAAGAAGAATGCAACAGAAAGGGGAAGCCAAGAAGGTGTTTGGAGAGGAGTGGGTAAAAAGTCTAGGTGGGCCAAGAAAGAAAGGGAAAAGGGGGGGAAAAGTTATAAAGGTATAAAACAAGATGGGAAAAAGAAAAAAAAAATTTAGGGACAAAGGGTAATGTATGATTCTTTTTTTTAAAAAAAAGGGATTCTGCATAGTACACACAATAGTATTGTAACAGTTGTATTTGTATTAAAAATAGAAAATTAGAATTTTATAAGATTTAATAAAAGATTAAAATATTAAGGTACAATGTTAAAATGTTTAATAATGAATGATTTTAAGTTTTAATAAAACATTAAAGGAAATGTTTTATTAATTTAATTATAGAGTTTAATGGGCTAATGTGTTGATTATTATAGATTTATTACTGTAGTATTTGTTTTTGAAATAGTAGAATGTACTAAGCAGAATCAGATTGGGACTTAGGTGTTATTTCAAATTTCAATTTAGGGGAATGATAGAAAGGCATCATACTCTGATCAGTGATTTCAGGAGAAATTATTCTTTTTTATATTGGGAATGAGATAGATGTAAATGGAAAAATGGACAAAAGATATAAAAATATTGTCTTAAAGCAAGATGAAATATATAAGTGGGGAGGAGTTATATAGAAGATATAGAATGGTAAGCAAGATAGGTAATGGTATATGAGGAGCATGAATTTAATTGAAGTCCATATAAAAAGAGGTAATCTGGGGCCAAATTACTTTCTAAAAGGAAGTTTTATGTTATTTTTGTGTTTTATGTGTGCGTGTTTAATTGAGAATTAATAAAATCTCGGAGGAAGACCAGATAAGAACAACTGTAAACAAGACAGAGGAAAATATAAATGTGATGATTGAATAGTAGATAAATTAGAAAAGAAATGTGATTGAATAAGAGTAAAGAAAAATAATGTGAAATCTGTTAAAGGGAATTTACGTGTCTATATGGAAATGGGATAAATTAGAAGAATGTGATATAAAATAATGTGTTACCTGCCTTGTAAAGATTTATAATGGAAAGAGATTTTATGTTTTTAATGTCTAATGATGTTTTGTTTTGTTTGTTGTTAAAATCAATAAAATTTGCTTAAAAAAAAGAAATTGATAATGCTTAGTTACTGAATGGGGAAGGGGATGATGGAAAAAGGAACAGGAAAAACCATGTTATCTAAATCTGATACTTGCTTTATAATTTTATATTTCTAAATCACCCTTATATGAATCTCTTAGCTTAGCTTCTAAAATGTTATGTAGCACTAGGTGCTCCAAGAACTTCATTAACTCTCACATCCCAGCCATTACAAAGAAGCGTATCTAATTGATAAATACCTCAGCTAGCTGTCTCTGCAGATCTGCAATTTTCTGTTCATATATCATTTTTCTATCAGATACAATTGCCATCAGGTTAAACCTTATCTCACCTTCACTATACCTGCAAAACATGAACAGAGTTTGTGTTACATATTGCTGTTACGTTATGATTTTAAAAATATTCATAGATGTTAAATCCTTTTGGAACATTTTAATAACATACCACAAGAAAAATCAAGATTCAAACTGAACATTGCTCTCTATTTATCACATAAACAATGGATAAGTTCAGTAACAGAGCCTTTCAAAGTGTTAATAGTTGCCAAATATCTACAAAGTACTCCTGGTTAAAATCCCTGTGATATGACTCCAATCATTTTGTGTACATTTGTCAGCTATGCTTACTTGAAAGCTAAAGTTTGATGCTTAAAGGTTTCAGAAGGTCAAATAACATTGTAAGCTTTTTTAAAAATATAATTAACTGAAATAAAAGTGAAGATGAAATAATGTTTCTTATCATCTCCATATATTCCTTTCCTAGGCAGAGTGGCAGCAAGCACTTTTGATATGACTATAGTGGATCTGTTGATCATAAAAGTTGACATAGTAAAAAGAATTCTCAACAATTTGTTTTCTATAAGTAACAGGGTAAGTAAAAGCCTTTCTTTTAATTTCTTCAGCTAGCTTACCAAGAACAAAATCTGTTTTAACGTTTTATAAGCAAGAACTTAAAATATAGTTATAAACACTTACTTTTGTATCCGTTTTTCTATGACAGGCCTTACAGCATTGATCCAGTCATCTTGATTGCACACTCCTAAGGAAGTACACAAATAATGCAAATCAATACATAGACATAGGCTTGCAACGTGAAGTCATAAAATCAAGTTATCACAACCTTGTTTATATAAGCTCTGCCACTATCACTATCACCAATAATGATTTATTTTATTATGTGCCCAAGTACCCATACAAAATAAAATGCTGGGTTGGTTGCAGGCAAGTTCTTGGGAAATGTGCTGACCAGTTCAGAAAAAAAAGTAAGGTGGGATGGTATACAGCATCCCTGAGCTAAAGAGTGAAAGGAAAACAACATTTCGTTGAACTGATTTTGATTGACAGTATTTATCATGGCAGTCATTTTCTGGCCGTATCTGTAATCTGCTCTTAAAATTCTAAATATTTCCATTAGCCTCCCTTCCTCATTCATACATTCAGAATGTCATGCTGCAGTTAAAAAAACTAAGGTTAAAAAACTGACAACTACATAGGTGAAACGAAAATATTACCTAAATCTATTGGACCTTCTCTCAAACCATCCAATTCATATAATCGACCATTTACAGGAACATAGCTGACAAAGTGAAAGGCATCTTCTTCTTTTGCCGTTGATTTTGCATCAAATTCAAACATCTGTTGTCTGCAAGAGAAGTGCAACACATGAATGAATGTTACAACTCTCCTCTCTAAACATATTTTACTTGGGAAGTATTTCAACATCTTCTTACCTAGCAAAACTGTTATGAACTTGTCGTATCACTTCTGAGTTACTTAATGCTAAGCCTTTCATCTGAAAGGGAAAAAAATATTGTAATTACATTTGTCATTCATTTAGCAACCATTCAGTTACAACAGCACCAAAAAAACTGCTGGTCTTTACAACAGGTCCTCACACTTACAACTGTCATAGCATCCCCATGGGCTACGTGATCAAAATTCAGGTGTTTGGCAACCAGCCTGTATTCGTGATAGATGTAGTTTCTAGGGTAATGGCCATTTCTGACTGTTAACAATCAGTTTTTGACAAGCAAAGTGAAGCAGAATTCACTTAATGATTAATTTAATAACTCCAATGATTAACACCCAAGATTAAAAAAGATCGTAAAATAAGGCATGACCCACTTAAGAACTGGTCTGCCTAACAATGGAAATTCTGATTCCATCAGTAGTCATAAAGTGAGGACACCTATATTGCTCATATTCAAGACATTTTTGCAAATATCATTTTTACACATACCGCAGCATCAAAGCTTTGAGAGAATTCTTTGAATTCAGACAGTGTTTCTCCTAAATGGATATCTTGATGAGTGCAGTTCAACAAAACACTGACTATTGCTTGAGTTGCACAAGCATTATTTATTACCTGTAAAGAGCATAAAAAATAATTTAATTAGTGCGAATTGTAGAAATCACAAACTTTACTTACTGCAACCCCCTTTAAACTTCAGAACTGTTTACATGGGCTTATGTTTGCATGGTCAAATATACATGATGGCAATAGTTTACCCTTTTTTATGTAAACTGTTTACACATGTTCGTCCATTCCTATAATTCACCCTAAATAGATTAACATAACAACACCAGTTGCTTGTGGTTGTAATATTGTTATTTTGGTATGCATTATTAAGTGGAACAAGGGTTGCATGAGCCATTTAATTTGCTGGGATTTAATAGTTGGTCTATTCTTTGTTAATAACTTGTCTGATAACTATACACATACTTTCTTAAGAAATAGTAACAATTGGTGGCTAAACAGTTCTGTATTTGGAAATTGTCCCTTCAAAAGACAGAAAAGACAAACAGAAAAAAAATTAAAGGAAATCTAGGAATTAAGATTTATCTAAACAATAATTAGTTTATAATGAAAAGAATCTTATTTTATGAAATCAAATGTTAGGTCATGTTTTAGCGCATCACATGTTCTTAAATTAAGTAAAACTTTTGTTTCTCAATCTTCTAATTTAAACTGACTTAACTGTATATTCTTAAGTGATTAGGTTAACGTATTATTGCCACAAATTTAAGAAAAAATGTAATTCTGCTATTTACCTCACACTAAGTAGTTAGCAGATTTGGGTTTGAATCATAACAGACGAGAAAAGCACGACAATAAAGAGATCTCTTCTTAAAATAGTGGTACAGTAGAACCTCGGGTTGCGACTGTAATCCATTCCAGGACTACGGTCGCAACCCTATTTGGTCACGATCGGAAGCATGGACTCACATGCGCAAATGGACTATGCATGCGCAGAAGGGGAAACTGCTGCAGCAAGGGAATCTGCTGTGGCCAGGTGTGTTTGCCACCCGATTTTTGAATTGTGACCAGATTCAAATATCAGGTGGATTTTTTGGTTGAAACCCAATTTGGTTGCGAACAGGAGCGTTTGCGACCTGAGGTTCCACTGTAATTGAAATGCCACAATTCAGTCCATTTCTAAGCATACCAGAAATCATGATGTTGTTCTATCTTGTTCCTCCTTGAACTTTACATGAATGACATCCTTGTGGAAAATGGACATTCAAAATACATTATACTAATAGTGTTAAATTTTACTGCACTATGCTTGCTACCTTAACACATTACATCAAATTGAACAAATTTTGTTTTATGTTAATTGGATATTTTCTGGTTGGAGGTTTATATTAAAGATATTAGAATTCCAAAACAAAGAAATGAAAAAAAAATCCTATTTCATAATAAGAGTGTTTGAAAAAATATAGTCCTTGACTTACAACAATTCATTTAGTGACCATTCAAAGTGACAAAGCACTGAAAAAAGGGACTTATGACTGTTTTTCACATTTACAACTATTGTAGCGTTTTCATGGTCACATAATCAAAATTTAAATACTTGGCAACTGACTCATATTTATGATGTTTGCAGTGTCCCAGAGCCACATGATCCTCTTTTGTGATCTTCTAACAAGCAAAGTTAATTGGGAAGCTAAGTTCATTTAGCATCCTGGTTACCAGCTTAACAACTGTAAAAAGAAAGGTTGTAAAATGGGGCAAAATTCACAACTGTTTTGCTTAACAGCATAAATTTTGGGCTCAATTGTGGTTGTAAGTCAATTTCATAGTTTAAAAATATGTTGTTTGTAAATTTGCTAAAAAAATGGCTAATTATATACTTATTAATTCAGAAACTTCCTTCTAGCTAAGAACACATAGCTTTGTAGACCACAAAGCATTTTCCATGATCAGAATCAGAAAATACAGGCATATCTTTAGTAACACTACAATTATATATTCACATTATTTATAAAACTAAATGTTAAAAATAAAAATATATACATTTCTAGTTCAAGGTTAAAATGATTTTTATCAGTACTTCACTGAACCTGTTTGCCATGTTTCTGTTTCATCACAATATTTCAGAAGATAATTTTTATTTCCTTTGCTTAAAAAGAAACTGTCCTAGATACAGAGTTTTTTAATTTACCATACCTGTTTAGCAAAAAATAATGTATCTAATCTGGAATCCTGAACAACAGAACCAGCTGGTTCTTCTCCTGGTTGCCATTTGAACAAAAATATCAGTCCATGAACTGGCCTACAGATAAAGAAAAACACAAAATATGTTGAAAACTGAAACATATATACTGACCAGGAAACAAAGCTAACTTACATATGTATTATAATTAAAGTGTAGAACAGTAACTGATTAGCAGTGGAAAGGAAAACAATATGATGCCTTCTAAAAAATGTTTGGGGGAATCATACTTTTAAGGAATATATTATCTGTGTTGCATGAAACACATACCTCCTTACTGGGCAAAGGAGTACTTAGATTTTGCAACAGGCACAGCAAATAATTTCACAGATCTCTGGCAGAATTCAATTTCCCCTCCCCACTAGAACTCAGAATGTAACTATATATTCATAGAAATAACTATATTGGACTAGGTATCTTCATTTCTTTTTCCAATAATGTGAATTGCTTGACTAAAGCTCTGAGCAAATATCCTTTATCCATTGGCGGGAAATATAGAACGTAATTTATACAGCAAGGACGAACACAGGGAACAAAAGGTGAATAACTATAAGCAACATACTTTAATTTTTCAAAGTTCTCAGGCTCCAAACTCCATATCTCCTCAACCTGTGCTCCTCTGCAACCTGAAAATTAAGGAATAGGTTGGAAGTTATCCAGGGCCAATTTATATGGGAAAAATCCAAGAGCAAAACTTAGCATTAGTTTAAAAACGAATTACAAGTCAATCCAGCTCTTCAAGCATCTGGCTTACATGTTTGCACTCACAAAATTCTGACACATACACATTTTACTTTCCAACATTAGTTACATTATATGTTAATTATATACAATTGAAATATAGATTTCATGCATTTAACATGACAGTCACCAGCCAATCTTGACTGCTTTTGAAGAAGGGGGCAGCTTTGGTCCTAGTTAATATTTGATTGGGAGACCACTAGGAAATCCTATGTTGTAGACAAAACTGGAAATGAGTGGCTGATCTAATCAGTGTACATTTACAAATGCATGTCAGAAGGGGCACTGACAGAAACAGAGTCTGGCTGTTGCTCTTTTTTGAAAATAAGTTTTATGGAAAGCTGCTGTGCCATATTCAAATTGAAGTATGCATCTCTCTCCCCATTCTCAAATTAATGGAAGGCGATGCCTATTACACGTTCCATAATTTATTACTTTTTATTACATACCCATGACTTCCATCATAAGTAAACCATTTAGATTTACCAACAATTAAAAAAATTCTCTCTAGATCCATTACTAGGGCACGAAAATAATGTTACTACCACTTCTATACCCCATTTCCTACCAATTTTAAAACTAAAGAAAAACAACAAATCTCATATGCAGGGGGGGGGGAGATTCTCTACACGTGGGAGGAAATAATCTTGTCCAGAAGACGTCTCACTCCTTGAAAAAGAGTAGGCTCACACAAGATGCTAAATAAGCAAGATAGCTTTTGCCCTAGGCAATGTCTCTGGTTATTCCTGAATTGTTGTTCCAATGACTGAATCGTTAACCAGGGAACCGCGTTCTGTACATGGCCAGAAACTACATCCATCCTTAATCAACGAGGCGTTTGCAAACGGATGCTGAAAATCCTCGGAACCCAATCGAGCCCATGAAGGTCGAATCTGACGCTTTGGCCAGTTTTCCCCCTTTGGCTCCCTTTTAGCCCGCGCCTCGGATGTGGGGGCGGGGGGGAACGCGATGGCAGTCCAGCCACAAACCTCACCGAAGCCCTTGATGAGCTCCGTGAAGACGCCTGGGTCGCTCTCCATGAGGCACCACTCGCCAGCGCTGCCCCCGCCCGCCATCGCGCCCAAGAAGCCGCCGCACTGCCTTGCTTCGCTCTCAATCGACCGGACTCCGCTAAAATGCTCCAGTGGGTTCTCCCTCGCTTGTCTCGCGTGGCGCCCCTCTGCGTTAATCGCGCGCCCTTTGCCCACCCCCGCGGACGGTCGAAGGCAAGGCAAGGCAAGGCAACGCACGCCACCGCTTTCCCGACAGCCTCAGCGGCCGGCGACTTAAATCTCGACGGGGGGGGAAAACAGTCTCCTCTACTCTATGGTGAAGAGAGGAGCAAAAGGACTAACCAGAGAGAGGAGAGGCTAAACCGCCCGGCGTGCTGCATTTCCGGCTCGCGATTAAAGAGACGGGGTTTTAACAATAGAGTAAAACCGGTGTAAATAAGATTGAATGGCGCGGTGGCATTCTTTCATAATTTTGCTTTTGTTTTAAGAGCAACAAACTCAATTGGCAACCTATAGATCAGGCCAGTGGCTTGTAGGCTATGTTGGCACTGATGTGTTTACATATAAGTAACCTTGAATTACTCAACCCAGTTTTTTTGTATCCATGATATTGAACCATTGGTTAATGAAACGGGGGGGGGGGGGGACGGATACTATACGCTAAATCATAAATCGGGGATGACAAACCATAATACTTAATCCTAAACGAAAATCACATCTTTTGTCCTATGAATAAATCGTTACTTGCAACCCCAATAATCAGGATTGCTTATTTGGTTTAGTATGTTAATAATGCCACCCTAAATTGCTAATTAGGTTAAACAACGCAGCTACTAACTGATCTCTCTTGGGTTATTTTCTCCATTCTGGGGCTTCAACAGATATTTTACGTGACTATAAAACACATCTATGATGACCTTCCCTTGACTGGTTTCATTCATTGTGACGGACAATCTCTTTATGCCTAAGGAGGCACTAAAACTCACGGTCTCTTGTCCCAAAGGTGCTTTTTCAAGAGGCAACTGGATTGTTTGTTTTCTTTGAAAACGTTTCGGTTCTCATCCAAGAAGAAGCTAAAGAAGCTTCTTGGATGAGAAGCATAACATCTTAAAAAAACAAACAAACCAATAACCAGAAAGTCCAGTTGCCTCCTGAAAAAGTAACTATGGGATAACCATGACCTGGTTGACTGAGAATCTCCATAGACATTTAGTCACGGTCTCTTGGGCTTCTAGCCTGGTGCCTTTAACCATTGGCAAACCAAAACTGGCTTCTTACACTACTCCATTGGCATCAATTTAACACAAAGACTGCTTTTCTCGGAAAATGAAAGCAATCCATCGGCGAATCACAGCAATGTAACTAGGACAGCAGTGACATAAAAACCTCAACTTGCAAAGAAACCTCGTCCTCTAGCTTCGCTGCCCTACATTTCCCAAGTCCTCCGCCACCAACGACTGCCTACCAAAAACGCCCGAGGGTTACAGGAGCTGCAATGGGCAGCACCTCCAAACGGGACTGCGATCCCAGTCCAGCTTTTGTCGAACTCCGCTCAAAGCTTTTGAACCACAAATTTAGGGTCAAGGGCCCTAAAAATACCCAAAATTTGTGCACCGCGGCGCCGGCCTGCGCGCAACGCACTCGAAAGCAAAAAGCGGAAACCTTCCTGGCCGCGAGAGCTGAGGGATAACGCCGCGAGACAGATGCGGGTTGCGGAGGAGGGGAGGGAGGGGCAGTGCATCCGGGTCTTGGGGATCCCTGTCATCTGCGGAGTCGGCGAAGATCCGCTGCCCCATCCGGCTCCCTCCCTCCCTTGTTTTTACTGCGTGAGGGAAGTTGTCAGGCGGTCTTGGCGGGGTGAGGAGGAGTGACCCGGGAGAGAGCGCTTGAGGAGAAACCTGACCCTTTCGTTGGCCTCCCGAAAGCCTCGAGGCTGCCGCAGTTACACGCAGAGAGGTATGGTTTTGCCTGTGCAGACAATGCTACCCAACAACCCTCATTTAAAGGCTGCCAAGCGGCGCGGGCCGTCTCGGTTCGATTTGGAACCGATCTCCTGCGTTCCAGGAAAAAAGCTCCAGACTAGGGCCTGGGAGCGGCGACGAAGCGAGCCCGCTTGCCTTTCTTTCTCCCTTTCTCTTTGTCAGCCGTTCACATTTCACGCCGGCCTCGTAGTACTTAGCCGAAGAAATGCAGGGGATTGTTAATGGATTGGCCAATCGGAGCTATCTCGGGGGGCGGGGGGGGGGGAGCAAGTACACGATGTGGGTAGTCCTCGATTTACAACATTCGATTTAGTTGACTCCGAAGTTACAATATCACTGAAAAAAGTGACTTTAGCACTAGCGCGTAGCTCCACAGTGCTTTACAGGAGGGATGTCCAACCTTAGCAACTTTAAGCCTGGTGGACTTCAACTCCCAGAAGGCTGGGGAATTCTGGGAGTTGAAGTCGGCCAAGCTTAAAGTTGCTAAGGTTGGACACCCTGCTTTACAGCCCTTCTCTAAGAGGTTTACAGAGGCAAGCTATAGCCCCCAACATTCTGGGTTCTCATTTTATTGATCTTGGAAGGATGGAAGGCTGAGTCAGCCTTGAACCAGTGGGAATCGAAATGCTGAACTGGTAGCAGCTGGTAGTCAGCAGAGTTATCCTGTAGTACTGCATTCTAACCAGTGCGCCACCACAGCTCTTATAACTTAGGACCATTGTTCAGATTTACGACTATTGCAGCATTCCCTGCCCCCCCCTCACCTGATTAAAGTTCAGCTGCTTGGCAACTGGCTCATTTAAGATGGTTGTAGTGTCCTGGGATCAGGTTGTCATCTTTTGCGATCTTCTAAACAAGCAAAGTCAGGGGAGAGGCAGACTCACTTAGCAACCGTGTTACTTAAAGTTGCTTAACAACTTAACAACTGCGGCAAGAAAGGTGGCAAAATGGGGCAAAACTCACTTAACAAATAAGCAACCTAAATTTTGAGCTCAATTGTGGCTGTAAGTTGAAGACTACCTGTGCTATAAGCTTCGGGATTGCTGGAGTCATCCACCTGAGACTTCCTGAATTGGAGTAATGTAGTTGAACACGAATACAGGAAAGCAATAGAAGCAACTGTGCAACTTGGTGTCTTGAGGAATGTGCATCTCATAGTAATATGAATGAATAAAAAACATAAGCATGCTGTCTGATGAATGATTGTGGAGAGGTTTTGCAAGATCTAAATGGGTTGGTGGATGATTGGGTTGGGTTGGTTGGCTGCTCAATAGAGAGCTGTGAGAAACGTTCTGTACCATAATCCCACAAGGAACTATATTGTACAAGTAGTCCACAATTTGGCCCAACATTTTATCTTGCTAAGTAAGAAATTTATTACGTGAGTTTTGCCCCATTTTACGACTGTTCTTGTCACATTTGTTAAGTGAATCTGATTTCCCCATTGACTTTGCTTGTTAGAAGGCTGCAAAAGGAAAGCACATGGCCCTGGAACACTGCAACTGTCATAAATGTGAGTCAGTTGCATCCGGATATAAACCACTTGATCATGGAGATGCTGCAATGTCATAAATGGTCATAAGTCACTATTTTCAATGTCACTGTAACTTCGAACTGTCACTAAATGAACTGCTGTAAATCGAGAACTACCTGTAATTACCTGAATACATTGAGTAAAAACATGCATTCTATCTTCAGTGGCATTCTTTGCTATATCATAGATTTCGGCCTGAACAATTTGTCACAAAGGTTATTTAGCCCAACCATCACAGAAAAGGTTATACTTGAATTGGAGCTCAACTGTGGAATTGAATTGGAGCTTAGCTGTGAGTGGGATAGAATAAATTGCTATTTTTGTTCAATTTCTTCCACAGCATTACTATCCAAGACAACATTGAATAAACTAAGATACAACACTTTGAACAAATTGGAAAATGGGTGGGGTACAAATGAAAAACTGCAATGTATTGTATCCTGCACTCATACTTCTTTTCTTTGTGAAGACTTGGCACAAAATGTATTTAGTTTATTTTGTAATTAGTTCAGAATTGCTAGTTCTGAACTATATTTATTTAAAATAATCTGCCAATCTTATATTGAATTCTGGGCAACGTTTAAATGATTTTATTTTTTAATAAGGAAATATTTGTTTTAATTCATGGTATTTCCAATTTCAGGTGGTTTCCTCATGGAAAACTAGTTAGAAATTTTATAAACAATTACATCATTTATTCAAATTGCACGTCTGATTATATTATTTTTGTTGCTCTTGAGAGTGCCTTTTTAATTTAGAAATTGTGCTAAAATTTTACTGCTCAAAATGTTTTATTCTGTTGTGAGGAATTGGTTTTTCATTTTAAAAAACAGAACATTGTACATTCTAAGAACATTATATTTCAGACAGGATATTGCATTTAATTTAATTGAAGCAATAATTACACGTTGACAATCGGAATTATTGTTTTGTAATATAAATTAAATAGGCATATTATTATCTTAAAATAATATATTACGTAAGGGAAAAAAACTTGGCA